CGCACTTACGGACACACACTTCTCCAGTTACAACGAAGTCCAAAAATGGGTGGATAAATGGATCGCCTCGAAAGACACCGCGTTCTACCATCGTGGGATTACTCTGTTGCCGGAGAGATGGGAAAAAGTAGTAGAAAATGAAGGAAATTACTTTGATTAATGTATTCATTCATCTTCCCTTCGAAACAAGTCGATTTTCGAGACGAAAAAACGATAGAAATTAAGTTTAACACCTAATAGTTCACAGCAACCGCCCCCGAGCGCTCAGACCGGACCGGCCGAACAACGCCGCCAGCGCCCGTAGCACGGGCCGGGACTCCTTCCCTGGCGCGCTCGTTCTCCTCTTTCCTTTTCGTAACCGTCTCGCAGAAACGTAGAAAGGCTCCTCTTCCGTCCTTTGTGAGAAGGCTTCTGATAATGTTTGGTATCGTCAGGTCCCATCCGATAACCGCCCTCAGCTTCCCCCTGGGGATAGCCCACGCTGGGCAGTATACCAGCGCACACTAGTCTAGAGCGCCCGAATTCCTGGCCAAAATCTATTTTATCGAAGGTCGTTATTTTCGATATCTGACTACGCATTTTCGTAGAAGGCCCTCTGGTGAATATATTTCTAAAAGAAAGAGTCCAACAATCGTATATTCAACAGTTATATTAATAATAATTGCATGTAACGCGATAAAAAATGGCGTCAAATCACGACAAAAAAATAACCGAGATAAACGCACAAAATATTGAAAAATGTTATCATCGCCGAAGATCCCGCGATGTACTCAATGAAAAAGTGTTCTGCATATATTTAGGAACAATATTATGCAAAGATTTCGAACCGAATTTAACCGAGTGGATTGTATTTTATATTTTTAACCGAGCCGTGCGGCAGCGCAGCGGCGAGCGCTCGAAATGTTCGGGCCGACCGAGACGTCGACGCTATTGTTTGTGTCGAATAAAGCCCGGTGCGCGTGACGCATGATGTTTGCCTGACTCGACCGGTTTCGACCCTAATTCTCAAAAAATGTATATTATCATATGTGTATGTATTTGTGTATGTGTTTGTGCGTGGATGTGTTTATGCCTGAAAAGCAATATTCATTCTTAAAGTATATACAATACGATAATTTGTATATGTATTTTTCAGGCAATGACGTGAAATGTTCCCGTAGGGAAATTTTCGAAATTATAGGACGTATTTTGACCTGTGATTTAAGCAATCAGATTCAAGTTATTGAAGATAACTTATCTGAAAAGTTCAATATGTCTTTTCACCTTCATGAAGACGCAAAGAGCGACATGAAGAAATTCTTATGTAAAGTAAAATCGAAATGGAAAAAATCCCACTATGTTCCCGCGGCATTTGAAAAACAAAATCGCATAATCGCATAAACTTTGTAATTTAAAATTTAATAAAATTTAATTACTTCATTATATTGTATTTTACTTTATTTATTAAAATAGCTCCATTTTACTCTATTTATTAAAATTGTAACGAGGTTTCATATAAATTAGTTTCGAAATAAAAAAATTGATAGTCGACAACCGCCATTTTGTATCAGCCATTTTGAATTTCTTAATTTTGAGCTCAGATTCGTAATCAGCGACCCCAAAAACCTTACATGTAAGTTTGTTAAGCACTTTTCTTACGATTTAGGGTTATGACCAGGAATTCGGGCGCTCTAGACCAGTGTGCAGCGTGTGTTTGGCTGTGTCGTGTAATGCGGTACAGTGCCAACATCTCGGCGTGGTTTTCCTGTCGATCCGGCAGTTTCTCTACCGATCTGGCGAACTTTTTTTTTGTTTTGTGACGCAGGGGAAGTGCGTTACGCATCCCCGCCACCCTCGGGGGAAGGCGGCGGGGTATGTGGACTCTCTCCCCGAACATGTTATTCGGGGAGCCTACACACTATAATCCCTGCGGACGTACCTAACCCGGACGAATTGGGGTCCATCCGGGAATTTCGCAACTGTAGTACTTCCGAATGGACTCCTTCATTATTACGTTAACATGTAAACTACCCTTTTTTATATATACATGAGAATGTGAGGACGCCGGCAACACACCCTCCCTTTCCCTTGGCCCATCTCGTGGGGACCATGGACCCCTGTCCATAATCCCATAGGCCCACCCCTCGAAGGGCCAGAGAAGTCTCTGACTCGGCCTCCGAGTTTTCTCCCTACTTAAAAGACTATCAATGAGACCGAGGACCCCGCTAATCGGTGTCCTCGTATGTCTCCTCCTACTAGCCTTCACAGGCGTCAGGGCCGCGGGGAGGGTAAACTAAGTTAAAGTTGAAGAAGCTCCCTCCCCGCGGGATCGATGTCCGTATTTTGCGGACATCTGATCGCCCCGCTAGTCGGTGCGATCGCCCCTCCTAGCTCTATAGGATAATTGTCCCTGCGTAGCCCTTACACACAATCCTTTCTCTCGCCGATTTTTCCCTACTCTGATTTATCTATGCTATTCTACTCCATACGCCAGGGACATCCATTTCCCTATCTATATGTAGCCATAGACTTCCCTTTCCTAAGTATTTCTTTTAAATTCCTATTCCTATACCGGAGAGTTAGTTCTTTCTCTAGCCCTCTCCGCCTCTTCCTTCTGAGACATAACACTCTCGTAAAATGTTAAGACAGTTTTTCTTCCGTCCTCTCTTCTCATAGCACTAATTATCGCTTTTTAAAGAGAGATCTGATCCTATTATCTTGCGTAGTTCCGTCCGCTCATTATCCCACGCTGGGCAGTATCCTAATGTATGCCTCGCTGAATCATTCAGCGAGTCACAGTGCAGCATCTACGGGTGGCCTCCCTCCCGATCCGACACAGATACCTCCCGAAGCAACCGTGCCCCGTGAGGACCTGCGTCGCCCGGAAAGAGAGGCCCACCCTAGCATCAAGCCATTCCTGTAACTGGTCTCCCAGCCCTCCCAAAATTGTGTCACTTTTCTGGGTCATTCCCCTTATCCATGCTCCCCATTCTCTAGTCAGCTTTCTTCTTGACATTTCTTTTATTATATCCACGTCGGTCTTCTGGATAGGAGTGTTGTTACGTTTTAAGTTTGTCACTCTTTCATATACTTCCTCGTATCGAATTGCCTCCAGCTCCAAGGGCGGCACTCCTGCCAATGCCGTATTTATTGTGTGCGACGTCGTCTTATTGGATCCTTTGTATAACCGCGTCTGTAGCGATGTTAGAGAGGGTGGTAGCCTCCTCCCAGTCTTCCCTAGTCGTCAAGATCAGGGTATCGTCTGCGTAGCAGATAACCAGGCTCTCGGGTGGGAGTTCCCTCTTATCCATTATCACGTTGAAACCAATGTTCCAGAGGAGTGGCCCGAGGATAGACCCCTGCGGCACCCCTCTTTCTACTGATTTATGTCCCATTGTGCCGTCATTTCTGCCAAATGATAGCTTCCTATTTTCAAGGTAGCTCCTGATTATTTTTCTAAGATACAAGGGTACCTTGTGTTTTAGAAGGGTCTTTCCAATGTTATCCCAGGGCAGCGTATTAAACGCATTTTTGATATCAAGAGAAACTCTGACTACCTTATTGCCATTGGCAAATGCTTCCTCCATGAATTCCCTAGCTGTGTTAATGGCGTCTATAGTCGACCTTCCCTTTCTAAAGCCAAACTGCATGGGGTTCAGGTTTGATCCCCTTTCGTCTAGGTGTTTTACGATGCTATCAGCGATGATACGTTCTAAGAGTTTCGCTTCATCGTCTAGTAGGCATATGGGTCTATAGCCTGACGGTTGGTCGTCCGGTTTACCCATTTTCCTCAGGAGCACCAGTTTGGCATTCTTCCATACACTGGGGAAGTGTCCTTTCTTTAGACATTGCGAGAACAGCCTAATTAGATCACCTGCCATTGCGTTCACGGCCAGGGCCCATACCTTCGAGGGTATCCCACTGGGACCCGGTGCCGCATTCTTACTCTTCATTCTGCTAGTTGCGTGGAGTAGTTCCTTGTGGGAGACCTCAAAATCCGCGTGCGATGCTGTAGCCCCCTCTGGTGGTATCTCCGGTTCTCGCCATTCGGGTCCCGTTCTTATTGTCAGTGGGAATAACCCGGTGAGTACCCGATCTAGGGTCCCTTCCTCTAGGGATTCCGTATATGGTGGCGTCCACCTCCTCAGTTTTCCAAGAACTAATTTGTACGGGCGCCCCCATGGATCTTCGTTTAGGGACTGTATGAATTCTTCCCACGCTTTGGCCTTGGCCTTCCTTATAGCCTTGCCAAATCTGTCCCTGGCTAGTCTAAAGTTAAGGAGGCTGAGTTGGTTTTCCATCTCATTTCCGTTAGCTGTCCTTCTTCTGTTTCTGCGTAGTCGTCTTCTCGCCCTGGTTAGTTCCTGGCGTAGCATTGCCAACTCCTCTGTCCACCAGGGCATGGCCCTGCGTAGTCTTGGTGTGGACCTGGGCATGGAGGCATCACACGCCTCCACCATTGTCCTCTGAAGAGACATAGCCTGTGCCTCAGTGTCTTCTGCCTCTTGGTTCCTCCTTGGCCATTCTTGCCGTGATTGCATCAGTGAACATGTCCTCGTCCAATCTTCTTGTGGCCCATCTTTGGACTTTCGGAAGTTTTCTTCTTCGTATCTGCGCACCCGAAAGGCTTACGGTGATCTCTATATACCTATGATCGGATTTCGATTCCCTCTTGGAGACTGTCCAATTGACAATTCTTCTAGAGGCGATCGGGTTGGCGAAATTGACGTCTACAATCGACTCCCCATTTATCCTAATACATGTGCTTTCGTGCCCTCTATTCAGGCAGCACATGTCCATAGCACTAGCCCATTCCACAATTAGTGTACCTCGCGGATTGGTACTCCTGGAGTTCCATAACAGTGACTTGGCATTTAGGTCGCCTCCAATGATCATGGGTCTGTCTATGTTTCGTATGGCCCATCTCTCTAAATCTTCGAGTGCTTTCTCACACTGGGGTATACCAAGGCTTGGAGGCAGGTAAATCCCTACGACCACCATGTCCCCCCATCTAATAGCCACGAAATGTTCTCCCCTATCATATGGGGTGCACGGCATTGCTTCCTGAGCCTGTCTCCATGTGATTGCAATAGTTTCCGTCTCATTAGAGTACCAGTGAGGGTGGTCCACCGGGATCGTATAGGGTTCCGACACGATCGCCAACACGAATGGGCCTTCCCTCGAAGGACCAATGGAAGACCATTGGTTCGGCCTTCTAGCGCTTCCCTACTTATTTTATCTTCCTGAGACAGATGTCCCCGCTAGTCGGTGACATCTTGTGTCTCCTCCTGTCTGCCTCGAAGGCACGTGGGCCGCGGGGAGGGTAGACTAGATTAGAGATGGAGAAGCCCCCTCCCCGCGGGATCGATGCCCGTCAACCGGACATCTGGCCGCCCCGCTAATCGGTTCGGCCGCCCCACCTATCACTGCGGGCCTCTAGTCCCTAGACAAACCTATACTCTATCTTGACTGTACTCTTTCCCCTCTCCTGCTTATTTCCCTATACCTCGGACCCTTGCTTGTTCTAGGCACGCTACTAACCCGCGCAGATATCGCTACTCTTCCCTGCTGGTCGGGTTGGGCTAATCCCAGTCCCGACCCTCCTGCCTAACGTGTTTTCGCCTTAGCTATTTACACCTTCTCTATGCTTTTTGGATCTACCTATTTTAGCCTAGGTGGCCAGGTCCCCTCTCTCTCTGGCCCTCTCTGCTACTTCCTTCCTAGTCATGACTTCCTCACAGAAAGTCATAACCGCGTGTCTCTTTTCTTCTTGCAGCATGGCTCTTATAACTGCCCCTAATGACAAATCTGCTCCGATTTTTCTCTTTAGTTCTGCTCGTTCTGTGTCCCAGGTCGGACAGTAGCCTAGGATGTGTCTCGACGTATCGTTTTGCGAGTCACAGTGCCAGCATCTGTTTGATGTCTCCCTCCCGATCCGACACAGGAACCTCCCGAAGCATCCGTGCCCCGAGAGGACCTGCGTCGTCCGGAAGGTGAGACCCACCCTTTCGTCAACCCACTCTCTGAGTTGCACCTTGATGGCCCCCAGCACTGTCTCTCCTTCTTTTTCCATGCGGTCAATTCACATTCTCCATTGTCCAATGAGCTTTCTTTTGGCGATCTCCTTTATTGTTTCGATCTCCTTCCTCTGAACCTAACCTAACCTTTTTTTTTTTATATCGCTGGGGAAATGCGTTACGCATACCCGGGTCTTGGGGGGAAGTAACCCGGGTTATGTGGGACTCTACCCGAACCTTGCGATTCGGGGCAAACCCACTAAAACCCCAGCGGGTGTCCTATCATGGGCGCATATCGGACCGGGTCGGGATCTACGCAGCTACAATACTACCGACCCGGCCCGACGCCAAAGCGCATCTAGCGCTACCGTGCCTGATCTTGGTCAAAGACCAAGAGTAGCGACAGGGGACACCACCTCCTGCCGCCGAGTCTTCATCCGCACCGTCTTAAGCGGGAACGCAGAGCCCCCACTCTGCGCCCCCACGGTGCAATCTGTGGCCGATCAGCCACAAACAAGCACCCGTGCATCAGGGATCACCAGGGACTCCTAGTGGTCGGCCGGCCCCGCAGCCGCACCGACACCCATCCCATCCGGGATACCCTGTCTTCTCCTTTCGTGTTCCTCCTTCTGCCCCATCACGCTCTCGCAGAAGGCGAGGAACACGCGTCGATCCGCCTGCACGAGCAGTCGCCCAATTATACGGGGCACCGTCAGATTGGGCCCAAAGGTCCGCCTAAGCACGGCCCGCTGCCCACTCCACGCAGGACAGTGGCGCAGAGTGTGCACAACCGTGTCATCCAACGCTGGGCAGTGCCAACAACGCGGCGTGTTCTCCCTCCCGATGGGACACAGATACCGGCCAAAACAACCATGACCGGTCACCATCTGCGTCGCACGGAAGGGCAGGCCCACACGCGCCTCCGCCCACGGAGCAATCGCTCGCCCGATGCCCGTGCCTTTCCTTTTTTGTTGTTCCAGCCGCGTTTTCCATCTGGAAAACATCTTTCTCTTCGTCCTGTTCTTAATGTACGTGATCCACGAGGGAAGGACCTCGTCGATACCGTGTCGTATCTTTAGCTCCGTTCCCGCTAGCGCCGTGACGTCATCATACGCAGCCGTTTCGTATGCCCGGATAATTCTGCCCGCCGACCTCTTTTGGACTCCGTGCAGTCTGCTCAGGGTCCGTCGGCTCCGGGCAACGTCAGACGCCCAGACCGGTGCACCATACAGAGCCACCGAAGCGGTGACCGTAGCGTACGCTCTCCTCACCCTCGTATTCGGCCCCCTGAAGTTAGGCAGCAACCTGTTCAGCTGCGAGGCTATCTTTCCCATTCTGGGCTCTAGCACCCTAAAGTGCGCCTCGAACCTCAGACGGCTGTCCAGTATCAAGCCGAGATACTTGATCTGTGGTGCCACCGGCACGTCCCTTCCGGCCACACGGACAGACCCACTCAGCGGCGCCCCGCGTCGTCCGAAGCTAATCACCTCCGTTTTATGCGGAGCTACTTGGAGTCCTAACTCCTCTATTTTCTCCACCACTCCCCGAGTGGCCTCGGTGGCTCCAATTGTAGCCTCGTCCCAATCCCGGCCGGCCGCCAGAACTAAGGTATCGTCCGCATAGCACACAATCGCGCAACCGGCCCGGGGAGGTCCGCCCCGCGCAGGACCCCGTCGTAACCGAGGTCCCACAGGAGAGGGCCCAGTACGGATCCCTGTGGGACCCCCCGGTCCATTGCGATCTCCGTCATTTCTCCACTGCTATTGGGATACCTCAGCGTCCTATCCCTCAGGTACGATCTAAGCACCCTTCTTAAATATGACGGCAGCCTGTGCCGCTTCAATTCGTCGCCAATTACGTTCCATGGGAGGGAGTTGAAGGCGTTGCGGATGTCGAGAGAGACACCCACAACCATCTCCCCCTCCCCCCACGACTCCTCCACGTAACGCCGTACCCACATAATGGCGTCTGTAGTGCTGCGGCCACGCCTGAAACCGAATTGGTTTCCATGTATGTTCGGGCCGTACGTCTCGAGGCTACGCACTATCCTGCCCGCCACGATGCGCTCAAACATTTTGGCCTCGTCGTCTATGAGGCATATGGGACGGTATGCCCCAGCATCGTTCCTCGACTTGCCCGGCTTAGGCAAGCGCACCAGCCTCGCGACTTTCCATCCGGCGGGGAAAACGCCTTGTCGCAAACACTCGGAGAAAAGCGTTCGCATTCTGCTGTTCATGGTATCCACGACTGCGCCCCACGCCACAGCCGGGATTCCACTAATCCCCGGTGCTGCTTTACGGCTTAGCATGCGCCGGTTTGCCTCAGCCATCTCCTCACACGTGACTTCTAGCCCGGGTTCCCAGGTCCCGGGACCCCCGTCCATGGCTCCATGAGTCTCCCCTCGGAGGGTCAAAGCATGCTTTGACTCGGCCTCCGAGTTCGCCTCCCTACTTATTATACTACATTGAGATCGATGACTCCGCTAGTCGGTGTCATCGTAATTCTCCTGTCTGTCCTTTGATACAAAAGGACACGTGGGCCGCGGGGAGGATAAACTAAATTAAAGATGGAGAAGCCCCCTCCCCGCGGTGTCGATGCCCGTCATCCGGACATCTGGCCGACCCGCTGGTCGGTTCGGCCGCCCCACCTAACACTGCGGGCCTTTCGTCCCCAGAACAACCTACATTCTAAGATTGTTACGTTCAACCCCCCATCCCTACTCATACTCCTAACCCTTGAACCCTAATTTGTTCTGGTGACTGCAGATCCGCGCTCCAAACTCGCGGCAGCTAAACCTTGTTTTTCCTCCTAGTCGGGTTGGGCTACTCCCAATACCGATCTTCTCAAGTAGTGAGATCCCCCTTGTCCATTTACCTTGTCTGGCTTTCTGTCCACCGTTTCGAAGCCTATGTGTCCAGGTCTCCTCTCTCTCGCTCTTTCAGCTACCTCCTTTTTGGTCATGATTTCTTCGCAAAAGGTCATGACCGCGTGTCTTTTCTCCTCCTGTAGCATAGCCCTAATAACCGCACCTAGTGATAGGTCTGCTCCAATTTTGTCCTTCAGAACTGCCCGTTCCGCATCCCAGGCCGGGCAATAGGCCAAGGTGTGCCTTGCCGTGTCGTTTAACGAGTCGCAATGCCAGTATCTCTTTGTTGTCTCCCTCCCGATCCGACACAGGAACCTCCCGAAGCATCGTGCCCCGAGAGGACCTGCGTCGTCCGGAAGGTGAGACCCACCCTGGCCTCCACCCATTCCCTGAGCTGCCCTTTAATGGCTCCCAGGACTGTTTCTCCTTCTTTTTCCTCATGTTCGATCCATTTTTTCCATCGGACTATTAACTTCCTTTTGGCGATCTCCCTGATAGAGTCAATCTCCTTTCTTGGAATCGGTTCGTTTGTAGCCCTGTTTCTTCTGATGTTCGATATTCTGTCGTATATCTCCTCACTGCACACGGCCTCCAGCTCCATAGGGGGAACCCCTGCCAGGGCTGTGTTCACGGCGAAGGAGGTGGTTTTGTATGCCCTCACCAGCCGACCCGTTATCCGACGTTGAACAGCGCGTAGTGTTCTTATTATCTTATTGCTCTTAAGCATCTCATATGCCCATATTGGGGCTCCGTACAACGCCATGGAGGTTATGACGTTGATGTATAGCTTCCTGGCCTTTCTATTTGGGCCCCCCAGATTCGGCAGTAGCCTACTCAGGGCTAGAGCCGCTTTTTCTAGCCGTGGTGATAGTCCCTCGAAGTGGGGTATAAAAGTCCACTTGGTGTCAAGAGTGAGTCCGAGGTATCTCATCCTTGTACCCACGGGGATCACGACTCCTGCAACACTAATTGTCGTGTTGGCTGGCCTGCCTCTTTCACGGAAGCCTACCACTTCTGTTTTGAGTGGGGCGACCTCCAGCCCCAAGTCCTGGATCCTTTGCACAATTGTTTCAACCGCCATTTCCGCCTCCATTGTGGCCTCCTCCCAGTCCTCGCCTTTGGAGAGTACTAGTGTATCATCGGCGTAGCAAAGTACCGAGCATTCTGGATGTAGGTCTCTCCTTTTCATGACTTCGTTGAAACCGAGGTTCCATAAGAGGGGACCTAGGATGGAACCTTGGGGAACCCCTCTTCGCACCTCTTGTTCTCCCCTTCCTCCGTTATCCTTGGTAAAAGATAGCTTCCTATCGTCCAAGTAGCTGCGGATAATTCTCCGCAAGTACAGCGGAATTTTGTGTCTCGATAGCGCGGCTCCAATTACTTCCCACGGTAGAGTATTGAAGGCATTTTTGATGTCTAATGACGTGCCTACTACTACTTTGCCCTCTTCAAAGGCGTCTTCCATGTACTCCCGTGCTCTAGATATAGCATCGAGTGTAGATCGTCCTTTTCTAAAGCCGAACTGATTTTCACTTAGATTTGGACCTCTTTCGTTTAGGTGTGCTATTATCCTGGAGGAGATAATCCTTTCGAGGATTTTAGCCTCGTCGTCAAGAAGGCAAATTGGTCGATAGCCTGCAGCCTGATCTTCTGGTTTACCTGGTTTTCTAAGCAGGACTAGCTTGGCTTTCTTCCAAAGACGTGGAAACATCCCAGTCTTGAGGCATTTGGTAAATAGGTTCCTCATTTCCGCCATCATTACATTGGCTGCCAGGGCCCATGCTTTAGCCGGGATTCCACTCGGCCCGGGTGCGGCACTTTTTTCCGTCATCCTCTTGATGGCGAGTAGTACCTCCTCATGCGAGACCTCCAGCTCCGCGGACCAGGAAGAGGTTCCCTCCGCAGGCAGTTGGGGCTCTACCCAGTTATCAGTGCCGCCTGGTGGAAATAGCCCCGTGATTACTCTATCCAGGGTGTCTTCGTCCATTGACTCCGTGTATTGGGGAGTCCATCTCCTTAGTCTCCCCATGACAGTCTTATACGGTCACCCCCATGGATCTTCGTTCAAGGTTTTCACGAAGTCCTCCCAGGCCTTCGCTTTTGCCTTTCTGATTTCCTTACCTAGGACTTTCTTTGCTTGTCTAAGCTCCCCTAGCCATTGAAGCGTTTCAAATTCATCCTGTGTGTGTA